CCCCCCCCCCCCCCCAAACCCTCCCCATTCCCCCTGTAGCTATGGGCTGTACCTGTTCGTAATAGGCTACCATATAACAATATTTAAAGGAATATTAGCCTAACTTTTAGAATGGACATAAAATTCAAAGTCTCAAACTTTGTTAACAAGTGTCATCTGTTGATGATTAAAGAATAGCAGAGTCTCTATAGGCCTTATAACACGATATATCCATTAAACTAAGTTATTATTGAAAAAAGGTTTTAAGCGCGTTTCAAAATTATTTAGTTTGATTATTACTTATTATTCAATCATGAGAGATTCTGGCTAATAGTTTTGATATCGGTATGTCCATTGATGAACAAAGACTCGTTTTGGCCAAGTTAGTTTAAACATATCAAAAGTGAAATTTTCTTTATCTGGTTTCTTCGGAAGGAATGCTATGTAATTTTTGCGTTCACATGCCAATTTTCGGCAAAGTCGAGGGCAACAATTCAAAATCTCGCCACCCAAGATCTTATCTATTATAACGCTATTACACTCCATAATGTTTCTTTAAAAACAGATTTGAACTTTAGTCTAAAAAAAAAATCCTTAAAAAAATGCTTTCTTAATTAAATAAAAGGGCGGAGGGGGGGGGGGGGGGGGGGTGTCTGGTTTGCCTTAAATTTTCCCACGAATTTTGCCCTGTATGTTTCCTACTAGAGTAATTAACGGTCGCAACGGATTTAATACTATTGATCTAGATTTAAGTGTACAGCGACCAGGCTATACCAAATATTACCTATAGTCTGCGATATACGCTTCAGTCTAATCAAAATAAGACCAAACTTTAGCATTTATACTAGCTTTTATTTTTACCAAACCTTTCATGTTAGAGTCTAACAATTATCTATATAACTTTTATTCTGATTCATAACACCACCAGCCAATCAAATTTGTTCCCTCTCCAGCGCTGGAATTCTAATGCTCCAGTTAAAACTTTCAGATAAGTGAAGGGACACATTTCTCTAGATCTTGTTAGGCATGTGTGGTTTTCATATATATATGATTTCCTTACTTTTCCTATATCTTCTTAAAAACATCAGACTGGCCCTTAACTGTCGTATTTTCTATATATGGCAGTGTCTTTTTAACTTTCAAACGTAGATAATTCTGGACACCAATGGATTTGAAGGCTCAAATTTCAACGTTGAGCTTTGAACACTATTATTGTTGTCACTTCTCCGGCTGCAAAGCCTATGGAAAACCTAGGGTTGTTATATCACTGGCTTACATGAGTGGTGACGCATGCCGTCAGTAATATCTGCTTGTCGCCATGAGTCTCAACTTCCAAGGTGGATTTTCAGTTGAATTGTTTAAAAATCTGTTAGCATCTTTTAATTCTGAAAAGTTATACCGATGGCTGAAATCAAGTTTAATACCCACCAGCTGGTAAGCAAACAAATCGCTGTTACAGATCTATGTCGATGCTTATACCTCTGAAACACTACTTTGAGACTGCAACTTAGGGGTAAGGTATTTATTACAAAATGTACGGTAATAAGTTGAAATTGAAATACCAATAATCACAGTAGGCTTATTAAACCCTATCATTTAGCAGTTGTATTACATTGTTACAATTTTACTATAAAATAAATTTTAAAGTTACTTCATATTATTTTTTGTTTCTGAAGAAAATCAACTTAAATCATAAAAATGCAAAAACTAAAAAGAGAATGGAATTTTCCATTGCATAATTTTTATTATGATTTATAAACTTGTATATTATTCCCCACGCCTATTATCAAGCACTTATAAAAATAGTTGAATAGAGGTAAATAAAAAGAATCAAACTATTTTTAGAATAAGGTCAAAAATATACTATGGTCATATAATGCGCCATTGCCTGTATCCTCGGGAATCACGTGACTTTTCAATCCAATCATTAGTTGTAAGTTGTTTATCTGTAAACAATTTGTTTGTTTGCTCCCTGATCAACTAGTGGAGACCCCCAGACATCAAGATGAACTGAAAGGCAGCCATATTTGAAGAATAGACGGAGGAATGAAACAATGACAAAAATTTTTGTGATCGAATTATGGATTCTTTCATAAATTTTGGATTAATTAGAAACTTTGAGTGATTTTGATTATAATTTTGTTATGATGTTGACAATATTTTGATGTGATTGATTTTGAAGATAATCGAAGTCTGCAGTGTTTTTACATTGCCGAATATTTTGATCACCCTTTCTTATCGAAGTGGTTTATCGAGCGAGTAAGTGGTCTTTCCGCTATCTCATTAAATATTAACTTCCAAAGTATTGACACTTTCCTCACTCACGAAACAGTGACATGTTAATTCTTGATGATCTGATAAGTTTGTGACATTATTCCCGCTGGTAACTAACTATGTGCACTGATAATTTCAACATGAAAGATTGCACGGAGTAGGTAATTCCGACATAACAATGTTGATAATGGCTGCCATTCTAAACATAGAAATATACGAGGGGATTTTCCATTTCTCACGTGACGTTATGTTGATATCTCACGTAAAGTAGCAGTATAAATCTTTCAGATAGGAAAACTGTGTTTTTTTTCAATGAAAATCTTAGGATTCTTTGATGAATTATGCTCCGGAGTTATTGACGGATATGATACTGCATGTGTCAGCATTAAAATGGCACCCCCGCCCAGACAGCTAGTCTTAAAGATTAGCACTTTTCTGATTTTAATGAATATTTTACAGTAAATTTATGTTTTATGAGAAGAGAAATATATCGTGGAAGGGTTATGTAGTAATATTTGGTTGATATGAATTGTTATTTTTTTGATAATCTTCAATTTTGGCGACTAATGTGTTGACCTAATTATTTGATCATCTTGGCGTGTCATTGTACAACAAAGTTAACAGTAAAACAACCTCGATTTGAACTGTTCTATAAATAGACTAGACATGATATAATGTACTGTATATTAATGCATGGCCCACTTCCTTATTGCCACAAGGCAATATCAGTCAGAAGAATTTTACCTTTTTCCGTTTCATGAAAATTTATGGCTTAAGCATATTTTAGTTATTATTGTAAATTTTTAACAGGTTGAAGATTATTATTTTTTTTTTCAATAGGCCTGTAACATTCTGACCTTGGTCAACTGTAGAAAAAGACACAAATATAAAAAAGAAATTTGGCTTTTTAACATACAGGAGAAGGAAGAAGGTTGTAGATTAATTATTTACAGGTACTTTTTTTTGTATTTTTAGGTTCAAGAATGAGTGAATCAGCAAATGAAAATGAACGAAAGCGTTCACGACCAACTGATGATGATGATTTGGAATCTGAGAAAAGGTAGCTAGGATAATAAATTAATTTAATGTCTAGGCCATTTTATAGCATGTAAATAGTCAACTTACTCAAAGATTGATAATGTTGTAAGGCTTCAACAGTCACATTTTAACTTGTTCATACCGGTACTTGAAAACATATACATTCCTATTTTCATGATAATGCCTTAGTAATCCAGTATGGTATGAAATGTTGGTTTAATAGCTAAGCTATATCATTAAATATGATTGTTTCTCTACTTCAGATCCAGAATTGATGAAAGCAGTAATAGTTCCATGGATTCCACTTCTTTACCATCAGCTTCCAGTAATAATGGCAGTTTGGAATCATTTCAAAATAAACCTCTAACAAATGGAACCAAATCAGATGACAGTGAGAAAGAGAATAATGTTGATAATGTTGATTCTCCAATGGATTTAACTCCATTCCCCAATACAGACAATGACAAACCTGAAGATTTTGAAGTCAATGGCTATTTGGATGAAGAATCTGAAGAAATTTTGAGAGTTCGGAAAAAACTTGTGAAGCAGTTACAAGCTCAATTGCGAAATGAAGAGGCAAAGCTTGTGTTGTTGAAAAAATTACGACAAAGTCAATTGACACACTTCCAAGATCGTGAAAACAATAAAAACAATGTTTCCAGACAAAATGGTGGCCCTCCTCCTTTGGTCAGAGGAAGTCAACAACAGATTCAGTCATCAAAGACAAACAGTATCAGTAATCAAGTGAACTCCATGAGAGGAGGTTCTCAACAAATGTCTCAAGGTAGATCTGGTATCCAAGGTCCTCCACCTCTAGTTATGGCACCCAATAGAATGGGTGGTAACAATCAGATGTCTAGAGATGGTCATATGAGAGGTGGTTTGTCTGGATCATCCAGTAATAGTAATCTTCAGAATTACAGACAAGGATCCCAGTCACAGCAGATGTCACGTGATCGGGATGCAGTTCGAGAAAGGGAACGTCAACAGAACTCGACACCACCTCAACCTGAGCAGACACCAGCACAGCGTCAAGCAGCAGCAAAACTGGCATTGAGGAAACAACTAGAGAAGACTCTACTTCAGATCCCTCCACCCAAACCACCACCACCAGAGATGAACTTTATTCCTAGTTTGGCTTGTCCTGATTTTATCATGATGCTAGGATTAGAGGAAGTAGTCAATCATATCATTGATAGTCAGCTGATTGCTAAGGGGCAGAAAAATCCAGACGAAAAGTTTGTGTGCAATCCTTTCACTTGTGTACAATGTCATGCTGATTATACACCAGTTTGGAAACGTGAGAAGCCAGGATCTAAAAATGTTATTTGTGAATTATGTGTTACAACCAATCAAAAGAAAGCTTTAAAACAGGAACACACAAATCGATTGAAGAGTGCTTTTGTCAAAGCTCTCCAACAGGAGCAAGAAATAGAGCGTATGCAGGCACAAGGCATTACTCCTACTCCAGCTGCAGCTGCTGCATCATCAACACCATCTAATAACAGTAGTAGAGTTAACTCCCCTGCTCCTTCACAGTCACACAGTATGTCATCATCATCTCCACTCAATATCCCCTCAACTTATAAACCTAGTCCAGAACAGATTCGTCAACACCAGAATTTCTTACAGGCACATCAGGCCCAACTAAGAGCAGCTCCTTTGGGTCTTCAAGCTTTCTTTCCCAGACATCCCTACTCCTATCAAATACCATTTTCCAAACAGGAATTACAACGACAATATTTATTAGAAATGATTCCGCAGTCAAGATCCTGGAAGTCGTAACTCTCTTGATGTTATATGGGTTGTGGGTTCGTGTTCTCACAAAGCTTTATTGTTTGCACGATCACTCTGGATATTACAGATTAGTGTGAAATAGTACAAATTTATTTATTTCTGTGTGAAATTTGTTGAAATAATTCGTTAAGGACTTCTTTATCCAATATATCATATTCAGATTGTGCCAATGTCAATAGACCAAATATGAAACTGTTATTATTGATTGTAAAGACAAATATTGGATTGTGACTAATACTTTTCATTCATATGCATATTATATAGACCAATTTTTAACAACTATATAGATTGATGTTAAGGTCCAATGTGTCTTGAAATAAAGCTCCATCCATAGGACTACATAATTGCAGACTAAAGGGGTTTGTTGTCATTTGGAGAGAATTGCTTGTTATATGCATACTTCCATATCCAAACCACTAATTATTTTTGGAAAAAAATCTGCATTCTGGATATATAACAGCTTATAATTGGCAATTAAGATATATAATTAAGTTATGGTGTTCTTTTTGTATTTTGTTTGTTTTTCTGCACTACTAAAAATAACTGTCTTAATATCTATCAAATAATGGATGGATTGACAAATCTGTTGCTTGTGTTGACTTTGGCAGAGAATATGTCACTATGGATGCTGAGCTATTTATTCACCCTTCGAAAAAATATTTGTTTTCTTTAGTTATAATCCAACTCTGAGTTAAAATCAATCAAATCAAAAGGCTTATGTTAAGAATTCCAAGCCTTTTTTTTCAATAATCTCCTTTTGCCTAAAGCTTTACTTCTGAACATATTACTTTTGGGATTAGTGATGTCACAGCTGAATTAGACTTGGCATATTCTGTAAGTCTAGTAGAATTGTATATGTATATATAGGTATAGAATACATTATGTATATGATACCTTGAAAAATAAATATTGACATTTAAATTGTCTGATATATGATGCCAAGTGACATGCAGAAGGTTTGTGTATACATATTCATAAAACGAAGATCAAGTTCGAATTTGAGCTATTTTTGACTGTTGAAAGCAGAGTTATTGCCTTTGCCCCAAAATCTTGAATATGCTATTACTCTCTTAGTTTTCAACCGATTTTGATGAAACTTAAAATGAATGTTATTGGACCTAAATTGAAAGGTTTGAGAAAGTTTAGTTTACTTCTGATTAAATCTAAGGCTTTTTCCAGATTTAGGCCTCTTATGTCAGTTTGAGGAGTTATCTCCCTTTAACTTCTATACAGTAAGTGCTTCTATCAACATTAATTGCCCATAAACGCTCTAAAAAGTAGATTATTTGATGGAATCAAATGAAATTCGGTATGTGTATACATATTCATAAAACGAAGATCAAGTTCGAATTTGAGCTATTTTTGACTGTTAGAAGCAGAGTTATTGCCCTTGCCCCTAAATCTTGAACATTTACCATCTGCATGCCATGGTGGGCGTATATGGCTGTGGTGTGAAAAGTAGGAAACATTTGCAGATTCAAGGTCGTTTTGCACATAATCAGTAAGATCTTGCAACCAATTTATAGATATTCAATAGAATTCTTCAAAAAAATCACAATAAGTGATGTACTACTTTCTGATAATATACACAAAAAATAGACCAGAGAGTTAATATAAAACAAAAATATTTCTAAATTTAATAGTAACAATAAAAACAAGAGTAAAATTAAATATGTTAGTTTAATCATTGACATGCTATTAACTTTAAATTTTTAACTATGGTCCTTTTCTCCACGCAGGAATAGCTCTGAAACACAATCATAAACCACAATTATCATAGTCAGACTCTGTAACAAAGCAGACAGCTTTTGGTCTGATTGGAGATGAAATGAATGACCTATTTTTCTGCACCATATGAGGGAAATTTTGTCAACTGTTGAGGGATTTTTAACAAGCACAGCCTGTAGCACACAAGGCCTCTGATAGGTCTGATTGAAAATATCCTGTAATGCTTTGTTTAAGAGGTTTTCTAAATTTGTATGTGTATCGATGACACTGATAGCATTATTGACTGAATGGTGCAAAATGATGCTAACAGTGTCCCTAATACACAAATTTTTTTAGAAAACCTCTTTACAATCTCTTTAATTACAGGTCCACCATATTGAATTAACTGATAAATAAATACCTGTGTGGCATGTGTAAAATTTGTCCCCCACCATTAGATTTATTGTCTTTTAATCTTTCTTTCCATCCTGCTGTAGGCTGAAATAATCTTCCTGGATCACGTCTCACATGATTCTCTACCTTGAATTACAAAATAGGGTTACAGCATGGCTATCTACTTTCTCAGGAAAACTGATCTTAAAATCATGAATTTCAATACTCTTAATCAATAATATGAGGATTTCTGTTAAAAACACTTTAATCTAATCTTTTATGTCATGGTAAGTGGTAAATGCCAGAAATGTTTCCATGAATACCTGAAAAAGCTGGTTGCTAACCGCTATCGGCAAGTTCTGCTGAAAAAGTAGTAGGTGCAGACAATTCAAAATGGTAAAGAAGGAAATGGATGGGAAAATTTTCAATTTGACATATTCTGCAGAATTGGAATGGATGGAAATCTCCAATCCACCCTTGTAAGGTAGTTTAGCCTTTTTTGCCATGTTACTTACATTCAGTTTGATTCTCTCCTTCTGTATTTCCTTCTGTATCTTTTCTTCTTCTTTTATCCTATCTTTTATTATCTTGTCTTGTAATTTTTGTTGATCCTGAAAATAGGAAATGAAATGAATGGAGTTTAGTCCTACTATTCTGCACCTAATTGGGCTAATGAAGACAGGAAACGCCATGCAGGGTGCAATGAGGGAAATTTTGCCCACTTAGCCCGTCGCCAGGAATGATTTGGTGCTGGGGCTCAGATTTTGTACTTTGAAGAATTGAGGAGCCCACAGAACTCATTTCTAATAATTTTGAGGTGCCAAAAATGTATAAAAATCTGTATCTTTTTGATTTTGTGCAAAGACAAATCAATCTCTGCTTAACTGAAGAAGGTTTTGTTTTTCTAATTCTCACTTGCTGTGGCCAAGCCTGCACAAACCCCACCCTAGACCTAGACCTACCCTATGTCGAAATTTAGCTATTTCTTTAATGGCCATTCTACTTCTTTCTTCTTTTTCTTCTTGTTCATGTAATATCTCATGTTCTTTTAATATTCTTTCTTCCTCTTCTTTCTGTTGTTTATAATTCATTACTTTACTTCTCATCTCTTCCTGTAATATCAAAATATCACATTAATATCTTCCTCTTCTTTCTGTTGTTTATAATTCATTACTTTACTTCTCATCTCTTCCTGTAATATCAAAATATTATATTAATATCTTCCTCTTCTTTCTGTTGTTTATAATTCATTTCTTTATATCAAAATATCATATTAATATCTTCCTCTTCTTTCTGTTGTTTATAATTCATTACTTTACTTCTCATCTCTTCCTGTAATATCAAAATATCATATTAATATCTTCCTCTTCTTTCTGTTGTTTATAATTCATTTCTTTACTTCTCATCTTGTCCTGGAATATCAAAATATCATATTAATATCTTCCTCTTCTTTATGTTGTTACAATTCATTACTTTAATTCTCATCTTGTCCTGGAATATCAAAATATCATATTAATATCTTCCTCTTCTTTCTGTTGTTTATAATTCATTTCTTTACTTCTCATCTCTTCCTGTAATATCAAAATATCATATTAATATCTTCCTCTTCTTTATGTTGTTACAATTCATTACTTTAATTCTCATCTTGTCCTGGAATATCAAAATATCATATTAATATCTTCCTCTTCTTTATGTTGTTACAATTCATTACTTTAATTCTCATCTTGTCCTGGAATATCAAAATATCATATTAATATCTTCCTCTTCTTTCTGTTGTTTATAATTCATTACTTTACTTCTCATCTCTTCCTGTAATATCAAAATATCATATTAATATCTTCCTCTTCTTTCTGTTGTTTATAATTCATTACTTTACTTCTCATCTCTTCCTGTAATATCAAAATATCATATTAATATCTTCCTCTTCTTTCTGTTGTTTATAATTCATTTCTTTAATTCTCATCTTGTCCTGGAATATCAAAATATCATATTAATATCTTCCTCTTCTTTCTGTTGTTACAATTCATTACTTTAATTCTCATCTTGTCCTGTAATATCAAAATATCATATTAATATCTTCCTCTTCTTTATGTTGTTACAATTCATTACTTTAATTCTCATCTCTTCCTGTAATATCAAAATATCATATTAATATCTTCCTCTTCTTTATGTTGTTACAATTCATTACTTTAATTCTCATCTTGTCCTGGAATATCAAAATATCATATTAATATCTTCCTCTTCTTTCTGTTGTTACAATTCATTACTTTACTTATCATCTCTTCCTGTAATATCAAAATATCATATTAATATCTTCCTCTTCTTTCTGTTGTTTATAATTCATTACTTTAATTCTCATCTTGTCCTGGAATATCAAAATATCATTTCAATATCTTGAGAAACTTGATATAAACAAAATAAAATCAATCAAGAAGTGTTAAAATTTTTGATAGCTGCTCAAATTAAATAAATGAAGAAGTAAAGTTTACCTGTCTTATTCTTTCTTCTTCTTTCTTTTTCTTTTGATTAAATTCTTCCCTTAATTTTCTTTCCTGTTCTTGAGCCTTTTCTAACTCTTTTTGAACCTAGAAAAAAAAATCATGCATTGTCACATTTTGATATTCATAACAAAAATTTTGGATTAAATTGTTCCAATGAAAATGGTAGGCTTAAATCAGCCAATTTACGTTCCATCATCATTGAAAAATCACTGGCCAACAATCAACATTTACATGATGTTGTTATCCTTGTTATTATTATTTGACTTTGTTATCTTACATGATGTTGTTATCCTTGTTATTATTTTTGGCTTTGTTACCTTTTGTATAAACCATTGTATATACATACCTTCCATGCATTAACCATAGCATATCTTTCTGATTTTTCTTGTTCCAACTTTTCTAAATATTTCTGTTGTTTTTCTTTTTCTGACTCAACTTTTAACTCTACGTGTTGACCAGCTTTAGATAGAATATCTTCTTTATCATCCTAAATCACAACAAAAAAAATTCATATTTTAAGTGAAAATTGAATCCTGTTTCTTAGAAGAAAAAAATGTTTCAATTCACTGTACACACATTAAAACCCAGTTTCTGTTTGTATCTGATGTGTGTCCATGGCATCTAAACTTAATGATTTGCCCTTAAAACTATACTCTGCCTTCTTCAGTGAGTATGCTTACTGGCTTACATCCTATGTCCATTTATTAGAAGTTAAAATCTTGCGACAAAATCTGTTAAGTGGTGATGTCTTGTCAATTATCATCAGATTTAATCCTTGTAAGACATTTAGAATCTCACTGCACATTAAGAAGTCCATAAAAATTGTTATTCTCATTATTATCAGATTATAAGCTGACCAAAACATTGATGACCTTTTCCATTAGAATTCCTATTAAAATTACTTTATCAGTTGATTATAAAAATATTTATACATTCTCACCTCCTTTTTTTCCCGCCATTTTTTAATAGCATATTTCTTGTTATCAAGTAAAAATAGATACTCCTGATACCAAGTTTCATGTTCTCGTATTTCTGTTTCAGTATGAGTAGGTATTGCTGATGGTAGATGATCTAAAAATACTATTCTTCCCTAAAATACAACAATTATTACATCTATTTAAGGAGCATGGCTTTATTCTACAAAATCCTTTCTATAAATCAGATCGAATTGCAGATCTGGCGGTATATATCAACTGATTTGGAACTGTAAAAGTTGATGGGAAGACATAATGATCTGCAGAACAAATAAACTCAATAACCCGGACAAATGACATTCAGAAATGAAATATGTTGACTTTACCTTATATTTTTGTCTAAATTTAAGGAATGTCTGATGATCATATTCATCCCAGCCTCCTCTTGGTCCTCCAGTTTGTTGTAAAAATCTCTGAAAATATTCATATCATGCAATTATTGCCACAGAAATTGGCTTATTTCAAAATGAGAACAAATTGACGTTATTTTTAACCAATCAAAGTGCTTCATCTAAGACAAAATTTTGGGAATTGAAACTCAAAGTAGGGGAATATGACAGTCTCTTCGGCTTTTGCTGTCCCACAGTTCACTGTTCTGGTGTTCTAGTTCTGTTATAGAAAACTTATTACATTACAATTAAGACGAAAAATAGAGAGCAAAAGAAAAGAAAGGAAATAATAATCTAATTTTCAAAACTACCAGTAGCTGTCATGCATGTTATCTGCAACCATTGTCATACTGTGGTCAGTTCATTGCAAATAAACTAACCTCAAAGGCAGCAACTTCTGGTGGTAGATCTTTAGTAATATCTTTTGTAGTAGTACTAGTGGTATGAGATATAGTTCTAGATGAATTATTACCACTAGTAGATTGTGACAAAGATTCAAATCTTTTCTCTAAATTCTGTATATCTAAATACGTCCTTCTTTCATCTTTCAATAACTCTTCATATCTGTTAAATCAAACAGTAAATGTAGTTCGCCACACAAAGTAAAATAATTATATCCACGGCAGCACTTCAAAGAGATTTTTTGAGGTAACAAATGTCTGAAGATTTCCATATGAAAATTAGAAGCAAAATCAACTTTAAACTTCCATTGTGAGAGAAGATTAACTGCAATTAAGATGCTAATATCTTTAATCTCTGTGAGAAATTTACAAATCAGTTCGATTTAGAAAAAAAAATGTTATTCAAAAATTTCTGTCTTTATCTTACTTTGTTCGTTGTTGTTCTTTAAAGGATTTGATTGTACTCTCGATATCTTCCATAATAACTTTTAATCTTTCTACAACTGTAATATATAAAATGAAAATAAATAAACCAAGTGCTTCACAGCGAAAACCTGAATCCAAACAAAGTATTGGTGAAACATAGCAGCTAATGAATTGCACATGAGGAAGCATATCAATCACAAGTGAGTAACAACAAATAATATTTAGAAACATTCATCACTGTTATCATATGAAGCTAATAGGACAAAGTAAACCACAGCCTTTGTATTTGTTTGATAAAGAGGTGTGGTTTAACAATAGTCAACATGGGATAGATAGGCCAACTTACATTCTGGTGTAGGCTTGATATCTTTTAACTCCCTCTGAAATCGTTTTACCATATGGTTGATCTTTTCTAATTGTTGCTGAACTTTGACCTCTGAAAGTAATAAAAGGCCTACATTAGTTTTTCTTGGTTCATATATTAGAATATTAGAATTTAGACTGTTTTAGGGACAATTATTAATAGTTTTGATAATTCCTGTCATGATTCTGATACAGAATTCGACTACGGTTCAGATGCCATCTGTCAAAATGTTTGATATAGCTATTTACTTTCAGTTTTTCTTTCTAAAGTTGAATTATTATCTTGTTCTTCTAATTGACTGAAATCTGATCTAAAATCACTTCTTTTACTATAAATGTGGGTCATTTTTTCTCTTTCCATTGCTTGTATTCTGAAATTGAAGAATAAAAGTCAATATTTTATATAGATTAATATAGTAGGTGGTGATTTACAGTTGTCTCTAATTAAAGATACTGATCCATCAAGAGGGAGTAATCATTGTCTGATTCATTTCAATTAGCACATACTCTCACTTTAATCAACAATTTCAAATCAATTTGTGTAAGAGATTATCATGTAAGAGATTACTCACTGTACTTCCAGTTTGTGGATTTCACGAAGGAGTTCAGATTTTTTAGCTCTATCTGATTTAACAATAACTGCTGTGGAACCATTTTGCAGTTTCGTCTGAAATAAATTTGCGTAAAGAACTTAAGAAGTTTTCATCAAAAAATTAGGGTTAAGAGTGAAGAAGTTCCTAAAAACTTCTATTAGGGTAAAATGCAATTATAAAAATTGTGCCTGTGTACGTACAGTAGACAATGCGGTCAGACAGTAACTCTTTGACTTCGGCCACCTTTGAGTTGAGTTTGGGTGATACTTTCACCTGTCACAGTCAGTCAGTCTGAAATGAATGGAGTGCTTTCTGCACCGTGTGGGCTATTGAAGATGGCAAAGCCAAGCAGGATCCAATGAGGGAAATTTTTCCAATAAGCAATTACTCTTTTTCGATTTCCAACTGTTGAGGATCTTTAACGTGCACAGCTTGTTCTACAATTTGTAGCACTCAGGGATTTGGTTTATTGTCCCATTCGAACCATTATAGAACCTTTTTCCATCCATGTCAGCCCCTCTTACATGCATCACTGACAAGGGGGCAACTGGGTTGAAAAATCGGAAGGTATAATCTCGACCTATGCAGGAATTGAACCCTGGACTTTCAGGTTAGCTAGCAAGCGTCTAACTCACTAAGCCTTGTCAGTCCGTCTGTCTGATGATGTCATTGATGATACTGATACTGAATAAATGATAATGAAAAACTAAGGTTTAGAACCTGTTACAATGACTAAACCAACATCACTTTGGAGGTGAATTAAAGATTTTTGAAATTTCACGTGATAGATAGGAATAAGACCCCGAGGAGTGCAAATATGATTTAATTTTAATCTTTAATCCTAAAATACAAGCACCTGCACATCTTTGGCCGCCATGATGTAAATAAACAAATAACTGATGTTTGATTGGTTGAAATGGTTTCTTAAAAAACAATTCTTTCAAATTAAGAAACAAACGACAATTCAGCTTTATAAGACAGGATCAAATAATGCGAAAAAATTGCAAATTAACTTTTAGTAAAATAAAGACTGAATTCTCCGTTTCTTAACAAATTGAATTTAAATATTCGTTTTCTTTTTATGTAATACATGGCATCCAAGAGCAGATAATCCTTATTGTACCAAAACAGGAAAAATGACGTGGGACTCTGTAAAACAAATTATTAATGAAAATGAAAGCAAATCTTCATTGGATGCCATTGACATCCTGTTAAAGTATTGCAACAACATATTGAATAATCCAAGAGATCCTAAATACAGACGAATTCGACTGAAAAATGCTGTTGTTGAAAATAAATTATTACCAGTGGTAGGGGCAATGGAATGTCTGTTTGATATGGGGTTTCTTGAGGTGATTAATATTTTTAAAAAATAGTATGAAATCATAAATAAAGACACCTCATTAACAAAGACAAGACTTAGAATTAGAAAATATGGTCTACATAGTAGTATGCATATCATTAATTAAATAGATGTTACCGTAGAACCACATATATTCAAATTAAAGAACATTAATTAATGTCACGACTAGTTATGGTTATTTATCGCAAACTTGAGATCACTTGGTGAGGAGTGAAGATTATGAAATTTGTCTCCACCATTTTCCTGTCTCAGGCCATCAGCAATTTTGGCTGTCATTACAGACTGCTGGTGGACTGTGAATATGTAGTAAAAATCACAGTCAAAAATATTGAATGATTCCTTATTTTTTGTGATGCGTTTGATTTTCAGGATGGGGAATATTTAAGTCTACCAGAAAACTGTAGTTTGTCGATATTGACAGTGATTAAAAATGAGTTAACAACTGAGAAAGATGCTTTGTTAAATAATGAGAAGAGTACTACTCCAGTTTCTATACAACCTGCACCACAAGTAACATCAACTCAACCTTCACATTCTATATCTAACAACATTTTAACACAAAATATGATAGTAAGTTTACTCGCCTTTTGATAGAAACTTTAAATAGTTTAAACAAGTTTTATGGCCAATTTTATTTCCATTATTGTTTAAAATCTCAGGATTTGATTGTTTTATATTTTTAAGTTTTATGAAAAGTCTGACAACAGAGCCTATAAATTATTTTTTATTTTTTTTACACTTTTAATTTCAAATTTTTTAAGCAATGTTTTATGGTAAATTTAGTCTTTGATATATTGTTGCTTAGATTTGTTATTATCACAATAATTGTAGCCTGTTGTTAATTTTGATATTGATTTCTTATTTGAGGTGTCAGAGGCAAAGTTCTACAGTAAATTACAGTCTAGTTTACAACATGTTTTAATATATGAAGATAGAACACTACAAACTAAGGCTAAACAAGTTATACCATTAGATAGGTTAGAGATAGATGCTAGAGAAAGGTTGAATAGTCTTCAATCACCTAGTTCAGATCAACAGATTGACTTTCAAGATTGTCTGTTATTATCATTACTACATTGGTTTAAAACTGAGTTTTTCTCTTGGGTTGATGCTCCAGCTTGTGAAAGATGTACTGGACCTACAAGATCTATTGGTAAGCTTTCTTACAGGAAAAGTTTGCTACCCCATTAGTAAGCAAAAAGGTAGTCTCTAGTCAAGGTTAATATCAGGTATTCTGATTTCAGTTGTTTCCAATAAATTCATCAGATATATATTATATGTTTTCAGATGTTTTTAAATTTGATTTTTTGTGAAATAAGGACCAGTTGATAATGGTTACTTATTTGCTTTTCTTTGTTCTGAACTAATTTATAACTATCTGCATTTTAAGAATGAAATCAGAGCTGGTAAGCTGAAAATTGTTCAGTTGCATCCTCTTATAGCCAACCGTATTTTGTTGTTGTTAGGAATAAGATGAAATTACATTCAATGTCGAATCATGTTTTGTGAATGGAATGGATTAAACTATCTATGATATTTTTATTTTCATATTTCTCAAAGGTATGGTAGAACCTAGCTTAGAAGAAACAAGATGGCAGGGTCATCGTGTTGAATCATATCAATGTAATGTCTGTGCTTTATTAACCAGATTTCCTCGCTACAATCATCCTGGTAAACTTCTAGAAACTAGAAAAGGTCGGTGTGGAGAATGGGCAAACTGTTTTACTCTGTGTTGTCGAGCTGTAGGGTTTGAAGCTAGATATGTCTTAGACTGGACAGACCATGTCTGGACTGAGGTCTACTCTCAAAGTCAAAAAAGATGGATGCATTGTGATCCTTGTGAAAATGTTTGTGATAAACCATTGTTATATGAATCTGGCTGGGGAAAGAAATTGACTTACATAATTGCCTTTTCTAAAGATGATATAATGGATGTTACTTGGAGATATTCTGCTAAACATTCCCAGATTTTGAGCAGACGTCAAGAATGTCGTGAAGACTGGTTGGTCAGGACTATTCACAAGATGAATAAAGGGAAGCTTGATGTTATGGGTCCAGCAAGAAAAGACGTCATGCTTAAGAGAATTATAGTGGAATTAGTGGAGTTTTTGAAAGTTAAAACTGCTAATAATTCTCAGCTTTCTGGTAGAACGACTGGCTCACTGGCATGGCGTCTAGCTCGTGGTGAGACTGGTAACATGGACCAAAATTCTGAGTTTATTTTCCATCTAAGTGAACAAGAAAAACAATCTAAACAGTTGCATATTCTATATAACTGTGCCTCAGATCAATATGTTCGTAGATCAAATAATAATGAAACAACGAAAACCTGGTCATCTTTGTGCTATAACCACTTGTCAATATTTAGAAAAGAAGAAAAAGACTGGAAAATGGTGTATTTAGCTAGAGAAGAAGGATCTTCCAATGCTTCCGTCTTCTGGAAATTTGACTTTAGTGGTATGTAGTTTGAAAAGTGTGCTTAAATATTAATCATTATCTTAACTCCTGGGCTAAGTAATAAAAAACACCTAGACCTAATTGTAATAAAACATCTCCGAATATCCTCCTAACAGAGCTTCGGCCCCTATGCCTATGCTTACTTTAGTTTTAAAAAAGTTTGGTTTTCATACAGTTTTAAGATAAAGCAACCTGGTTTGGTATTCTATTGTTGTGTGTACTAGAGTTCAATTATGTTATAATTTCAGATAGTAAATTAAGAATTGATAATGTATCATTAAAATGTCATAGTTCTGTTTTTGAAAATGGTGAAATTTCATGGAAAATTTGTGGAGATGATCAATGCCATGTATATAGAGGTGATTAATTTTCATTGTTCAGACATTTATTTCATAATCATACACAATAACTGCCTGAAAATCATCAGAAGCTTGAAGCAGAAGCCATTTTTCATGGGTTAATTTTGGTCTTGATAATTATGTAAATAGTAAGTAGACGTAAAATTTTTGTGGTTAACGTGGGCTCTGTCGCTTGATTTAACTATTACTTATTAGGCTGATTGGATGAAAAAGGGTTAAGTTGTAAATGGCTTTAAAATCTTTTTATTTCAGGTACTGAACTAACTCAGTTAACTAATATTGATGTGAAGGGCAGCACAACTTTAAATATCACAGCAACATTAACAAAAGGTACTGGAGATAATGCTTGGCAACATACTCAATTATTTCGTCAAAGTTCAGATGATAAGAACACATACCCTTTTGAATTATTGATTAAATTTACAGACCTGTGATATATTATTATTAACCGTGAATGTTATTTATAGACTTTGCTTCTTTCCTTACCTAATAAAATATTCCTTTGGGCATATGTCAATCATTTTGACGTTTTCTTTAAACTAAATACACAAAATAAGCAAAGATCCGATCCCTAGTCTAGTACATGCCTACTCTCATGCAGTGGCCACTTCCACTTTTCCAGTTCCACCCCTTGTGATTTCGTCCATTCACAATTTCACCCAAGTGGTGTGTGTCTCTGTCCTGCTCTGTAGTATAATGGTGCAGTTTATCAAGGCACCTTAAGACACCCTGTGGCTAGTGTATCAACTGAGGATCTCTTTTGGAAAGAACACATCTTTTTGTTAAGTCAATCTACTGAATACACCTGTTGTTGAAATAACTGTCAGTTTCAAGGTTATATCTTCAACAAACTGTGACACACATTAGGGAAGGGGGTATGATTGTTAAGGCTTGATGTACTCGGAACGTTCTGTCTTTCTACTTCTGGGGCCTGTTTTTGGTTTTCTAGTTGTTAATTTATAATGTAGGCATAAGATGTGGCAAAAATATTGCAGGCATTTCCCTTAAAGACACCTAATCAAAAGTCATAGAAAGAGTTGAAATAAATTTAATCAGGAAAAAAAATATAATTTAGTCATTTTAAAACAAAAGAAAGCAATCTTGCTCTTAAAAAAACTAAACAATCTTTAACTTAAAGAATATTTTCAAAATTTACTAGAATCGACCATGGTTTGCAGTAATAGAACATAAAGTTAGGGTTTCAAAGTGTTTTTACAGCTAGTAAGGCTCAGCAATGGCAAATTAGAACATGGAATCCAAATTTTAAATTAACTTTGAAATGCTCAATCTTTAAAGCTGAAAACAACACAAATGAAAACCTAACCTTGAACTAGACTTAGCTTAACTGCAACAAAATATCTTTTCTATAACTTAGATATAATTTCTACATGTTATATGTGGCTTTAGGGTGACTATATAATAATAATTACTAATAGAGGTTTTAGTTAAAGACTGTGAAAATACTTTCTTAGTCTATTAGTAATAACTTTTTTGTATCAAACTTTAAATTAAATGATATGTAATTTTCTAATATCTAAATTTTGCTCATTCCGTTGGGCATTAATGCTATAAAGCTGCTTACATATATTTTCCACAAATGTTTAATCATCACTGAGGTCATGGGCTCCATTTCTCATAAAGCATTCCATGATGGAAATTTTACACAGAGAAATATTACACAGGAAAAATTCTTCCTCAAGATGTTTTTGAGAAATGGAATCCACAAGACACAAGAGCTATTTTCTTTCTCTAAATCATTAATTAAGTTTGATGTAGTAATTAATAAAAGAAGATATATAATAATAAGGCCTAGGTATACTACTTGTTAAAATCAGGTACCAAATTTAGATACCTCTTATAGTCGAGCAAAGATATTTAACAACATCCAATTCAAAATCTCAATAATTACCAAATCATTCTACTTACTCCAAACAAAATAGACCATTCCTGTTAAGGTTCGATTAGTTTTAGAGTATGATCAAATGCCTTTGCTCGATTATAAACACATGTAAACAATAGGTCAAATTGTGACAATAGCACTTTGTTCAAATATTTAAAAACAAACTGAAATCTTGACACAACAAGAAACAAAATTTAAAATAAACAGTTAAAATTCATTGCTTTCAAGAAAAAATATCATTTAAAAAATATATTCAAAAAAACAACAAAATATATGTAGATTGCAATTCCAGGCATTTGTAAAAGCACTTTTAATTGGAAATTTCATATAATTTGGGCAATAAACACAGGTCTCCTCTTATAAATGCCTGTCATTACCTAACGTTGATGGTTGCTTCTATATCTGAAACATGTATATCTAAGTCAAAACACATAAAAATGTGAATACAGTAGATAGCTGGCTTATTAAGCACACTACTATGTGTACAAGTAAAATATTTAACATATAAACTAATAATATAGTATATTTAAAATACATGGCATACTGAATTTTTAATGGATTTTGCAATTAATTTCCATCATTTTACTACCTCTCTCAGTTTCAAGAATTGAGGGATTTCTGAAAAATGAAAGAAATGCTTTTTTCCACAATACTTAATATCTTTCTTAACATGAAAACTAATTCTAATATCATTTAAATTTTGGGAATTTGAGATTGTTGTTAAATGCATAATGTTCATTGAAGTCTACCAAAATAACCTACAAAATACAACAACTTACATTACACTTGTTATATAAATTATAAAGATCTAATACTGAACCAATACCCAAAAACTTGTTGCAAATTCATCAAAATACAAAATCAAGATTCATTTATTGCTGCAGGTTAACAAACAATAAAGAAGTTCTAGAAATTTACTTAGATACCAGCATAAAACCAGTATCAATTAAAAGCCTGTTAGAGATACAATATTGTAATTCTTCAATGCTACAAGATGCATTTTAGAAAAAAATATACATTATGTTCATTTTGCAGTACTCTATATAAAATACATTTTGACCTCAGTACTAATGATTGCAAAATCCTGATTGAAATCATCTCAGCATTGAGACTAAAATATCCTTTTAAAACAGAACAAAAGGAAACAGACATCGTAACTTCTAAAATAATAACATTTGGTTTGTCTGTACAGAGAACAAAGCATGGCTATACTTACACATAAACACAATGTATATCATACTTTACTCTTGTGACCAAAACACACTTTACATACATGAGACAAACTGGACAAACACTTCAACTGGTTCAACTAAAAGTTTCAAAAGTTAACCACAAACTAAGTATACATTGAACCTTACTTTAATCCTTTATATAACTAGAATTAGTTATCAAATTACTATACTTACAAGTTTCAGCTGAAATCTGAATCTAAGTTATATTTCATACTTGATATCATTTACCGGGTTTATAATTCACACACATTTCACACACAAACACTTTAAATTTCAAAACTTAAAACACATTTTCACACTCTAGAATTACCTATCTCACACACACACACACACACACACACATAGATGACAACTATCTTCTAAATTTCTTCATTTCTCAACACACATTAAACAAGTATTTCTAATCAAATATCTCTCACTCACACTTGGACACACATTTATATTGCACACATTCAAAACACAAAGCATCACTTAAATCACTCACACATTCAAAACACTAAAATATTATCAAATTTCTCGCAAAACACATATCACAATAAAATTCCATCCGAGCACATTCAAAACACATTACACATAAGTTTCTCACACACATTCAAAACACATTACATATAAGTTTCTCACACACATTCAAAACACATTACATATAAGTTTCTCACACACATTCAAAACACATTACATATAAGTTTCTTCCAAACACATTTTATAATTACTATAAAATTTCTCTTTGAATAAAATCAACGTAATCAGGTCATTCTAAAAATAACCTATTTAATCCATTAGCTAACAAACTAAAAAAAAACAGTAAATACTATTTAACAAAGGCCAATCAATTAACCCTTTGAACTTAACTGTCCAGATATATGGCAATAGGAGCTATAAGCTTTCAAGTTTTAATAACACAATAAGTTTTGAATCTTGAAGCTGAGTATTTTTCCTATTATAAATGCTTTTCTAGTCTGGTGCTAGAAGGATTTTATTCTCTTTTGCAACAGTTATTATGATGGAATGCAAACTTAAAATTTTAAATCAACATGAAAACTAGCAGAGCTGCCTCAAAGATATGATAAGGGACATGTCAACATTCTATAACTAAGAAAACTAATGACCATTAGAGAATTGATCAATAGTATGCAAATTAAGATCCTATAGATACTGGATAACATTATAATTTTTTGTAAAATGACACTGGTGAAAATAACATTCAAATATGTATCGAATTATTTTCATACATGGACGGGAAACCTATCAGCAACATTTTTATTGAGAAAATTATACCACACATTTTAACCCTTTGAACACCGAGTGACAGACCACTGAGTTGTTTACAGATACTACTGACATTTGTATTCAAAGGGTTAAGATATAACACTAAGACATACTTGAAAATGACAACAGCTGTACATCATAAATTGAATTTTATCAGCCAAATACGTTTTATCATTTTAGCACTGATCTTAAATTCTTAAAATTGTTCTATAAAATAACTAAAAATATTCATGTAATAGCCATTTCAGATAATCTGTTTCAAATGTCAAAAAGAATGAGGCTCCAATAAAGATGAATTAAATTCCAGATCACCTTTTTTAAGATGTAAATGAGCAATTTTACGATATGAATTTGAAAATTAAAATCGAAATTTTAAGTTAAAACATGATGACAAAATTAATATAACTTCAATGATACTAAAAGCTGATCTACGGATGATAAAACTTTGTTAAAAAAAAATATCACATAATAACAATAGATCAGTTATATTTCATGTATGGTATTGTTTCAAAAAATAAAATGTCATTTCCATACCATTGCTATATTGACATTTTATTCTATTTAATGTCAAAAAATGTCAAGATAGCATGTTTTCTAAAGCTTTAATATATTTCTCGCTTGATATTAATCTTGAGTCAATTTTCCTCAAAATAAACTAGATTTGGGTAACCTCAATGTCAATCATAACTTGATGTCAATCTTGACTTGGGTTACCTCCAAATCAATCTTGACTTTGGATAACTTGATGTCAATCTTGACTTGGGTTACCTCCATATTAATCTTGACTTCAGATATCTTGATGTCAATCTTGACTTGGGTTACCTCCATATCAATCTGAACTTGATGTCAATCTTGACATTGGTTACCTCTATATCAATCTTGACTTGGGTTACCTCCAAATCAATCTTGACATGGTACATCAATATCAAACTTGACTTCTGTAACCTTAATGTCAATCATTACCTTAATGTAAAACTTGACTTCGGTAACCTTAATGTCAGAGTTACCTAGCCTTAATGTCAGGGTAACCTCAACATAAAACTTGACTTCGGTAACCTTGATGTCAATATTGATTATGAAATCATTCTTGATCTTATTTACATATTTACATTAAACTATACAGACACTTAAGTAAGTTAAACTGAAAATCTTACTATCAAACTCAGATGAAATCTAGAAACTTCAATCAGCAAATTTGCCATAATATATAAGAATTCGATTCAAATTTGGCTTGATGTCTCTGAATGAAACTACAGTTGTTGCTTATAGAGATCTATCTTAAACATGACAGTCAAATCAACAGTCTGATGAAAAGATAACAAATTTCACTTCAAAATTAATTCTGTAAAAACAATGGAATAAGTAGTTTGCCCTTATTTTAGGATACCAGTAATCACTAAAATTGATTCTAACTTATATTTACTAGGGTTTTTATTTAGACATTTTTTAACACCCCTAAAACCATAATCTATTTACTAATGATGAATATATGATCTATATTTACAAATGATACATTTTTGGTAATTTTCAACTTCAACTTGGAAAATGGAATGGTATGGCTTAATAAAGTGTATGGATATGAAATATTTTATGAAAATGAAAGATTCACTAGAAAGTCTTTGTCAAAAGGAAGACTTCTCCATTAAAAATCTTTAAGAAAATAAAGAAAGTATTTATGAATTTAAATCAAAATTCTAAATAAATTGAATCCAGAGATGTTGAGGATATACCATAGGTGGCAAAAATATTTTCCAAGTTTGGTGGATTCTCCTTGCAATTGATCACAAATCAAACTTAGAAAACCACTTTTTGTGACCACAGAAGTTAATGAGATGTTTGGGTGGGGTAGCCTGAAATTAATAAATGTTACATAATAATACTGACAATTGTAATCTGATGAAATGAAATCCATTTAAGGTGAAATAGCAAACTTGGAAATGGAAACAGCTTGCTTTATTTTCTCAACAACGTCTTGAGTGAGCATTACTTAATATCAAAAAAAAATTACACTCCAAACAAAAAGCTGACTGAAAGTTAATAGAGAAAATATGAATTTAGATGAAAAAAAATAAGAAAACAATCCAACAACATCCAATTATTTCAAATGATCAACATAATCCATGAAAATTTGTTCCTTTTTAAACTGATGAAATGAAAAAAAAAAAAAAAGTCACTACAAAGATCAGAAGCATAAAAATGTGATATTGCTAAAATGACTAGCTTGAGATCACCTTCAATCAAAACAAATCCTACAGTTTTTAGTAACATGTAAATCACTTCAGCCCAGTTTCCTCTTCAATTCTGACTAAAACAAGGTTCACTTTTGGTAAGCTTACTGATTCTTCAAATGTACCACACAATAACATAAACAACAATATTCTGTTGGTTGTGCAAGTTAAACTTTTCATATAATAATTGTATACAACCTATAACAATTGGTACATAAGAAATTAAACAAAAAGGATCCAACATCATAAAAATTCCATAAAAATTTCACTCATAAGCACTAGTTTTAGTTAAATCCATTAAGTTTTAGAACATGGTGTATAACGTAAATGATACCCTTTTTGGGTAAACATGATTTAAAGTGAAGCTTACCAAACCATCTTATCCTGAACCAAAATTCTTTCATATTCCTAGATTTCTGTTACTCTGTTATCCAACAGAGCATTCTAACTATTCTGTAATCTCACAGATAAAAATAAAATTGTTATTACAAGCACTGAAGAACATAAAATCTACTGTAGTATCAAAGATATTACAACTGAAATTGGAAGAAATTTACATAAAGCTTATTCTTAAGTTAAACAAAATCTGAGAATTTTGTCTTGATATCAGCATATCTATATTCACAATTACTTGTATATTCACATAGTATATATTACAAATAGCACACTTCAATTAATAATCTTTTTATGGGATTTCACCCATATATAGTACAGTCAAATGAAGCCAGACCGGAAATAGGATATGTGTTGTTTACCCAACACCCCTCAGATGCTTATTGAACTATTCCACTGGTGCATTTTTCCATAATCATTAACCGCTAAAGAAAATAGTGCAAAGAATGTTTTTTTGTGGAAATTTGCATTGAAAATTAGTTTATTTATCATTGCTCTATTTCATTTCAACTTATACAAAAAACAATATTATTATATTGCCTGGAAATATACTTTACATCTCTAAAATTAATGAACTCTTCCAACATGCATAAGTTCCATTCAAATTACCCTTTAATTTCAATGTAGTAAAGTTCATTTCAGATACTGAGGGGTGTTTTAGTTTCCAGTTTAAATCGCTTAGATAATTTTCCAATATACAAAATTCCATAGGTTTATGATCAATATCACATTTATATGCTAAATGATAACAAATAAGTTTAAATGCACCAAAGAAATGAAAGAAAAAAATATTCCATAATCTTAAGCCCTGCTTATATGCTTTGATTTTCCCTAGGATTATGTTCACATAGGGTTTTCTTCACTACTGGATAAATGGGTTGCAAACAAGCAGGTCTACCAATTTAACTACATGGCACTTATATAATTCAAAGATAGCCAAAATATATGTCCCACAAGGACACTTTCTTTTCCGTTTGGTTGGAACAGTTTTTAAAGTAATGTAGAGCATTGACATGAATGAATTTCAGTAAAAATACTGTTACGCAACAAATTGACTAGGTGATTGGATTTCTTAACCAAATATCAACCCAAAATGTAGTCATGAAAATCTGAGATGAAATGACATGCCCTATTGCACTAAGCAGGTTAAGATCTTCTGCCAATTTGAGCACTTCAAAAAATATATTTTGGACTATGTCCTCTCGTGAAGAGGAATAACAAATTTATGTCCGAAAGGAGACATGTATTTGATTCCTGCTTCTGAATAAACCTTTTTAGGTATACCTAAATCACATAAATACATCTGACTATTGCATGCCTTCATTTCTAAAGGTAAACACACTGCCAGGCTCCATTTTGATTCTAACAATGAGCCTTCTATTGGTGGATCTATGGTTAAACAGTTGGCTCTTTTGTTACCTGCCCAGTTGACTAATGATGTATACCAGTCTTGATGTCGAAGTTGTAGGTTGTCATGATTATCCAGTGCATTAACAATCATATCCACAGGACCTTGTGGAAGATCTGAAAGAAATAAAGAAAGCCATCTTACAATGATATTTCTTTATAAATCGTTTATAAATCTGTATCTATCACAATGCTTGGTAAATAAGGTTTAAGAACTTCTTTGATAAAAACTGATAATTACATCTGTTATGTTTACATGTATCCAGTGTATTTCTCATCAAAAAACATAGATCAATTTTTATCTTAAAACTTTTACCAAATTCAAAAAAAACAATAATCAACAGCTATATGTCATTTTATAGAAGTTTTCCACCCAATGTAGGAAAAAAATATTACATAAACAAAGAATAGTAGACAATCTTACCTTTAGCACAACTTGTTCGTTTTCCATCACACAATTCATACAATTTTAACTCTTTTTCAATTTCTTCTGGCATTCTTACAAAATTTGGCACATACAGTAAAGTTTTCACATTATGATTGGCTAGCTGCCTGGCACAATTGATACCCTTAGCACCCTGTAAGTGGGGTCCACATAAAATAACAACAACAGGTAATTGATGACCGTTCTGAGGACTCAATCTGTAAACAACAAGAACAGAGCTCAAATATGATGGCAATTCAAACATGAAATAAGAAAGTAATAAGAAAAGACAGAAAAGAAAAAACAGGAAAATAAAAATAAAAGAGAGGACCCCATTTTACAAGGATAGCAGCATAGATTTTCAAAGAGCCATCTTACAGCTGGTTCTTGACCAAACTTCTTGGGATTAATCTTTTCGTACCCATTATCAGTTCAATCAGTACAGTAAGAAAAGGTCACCAAGACTTACACACACCAACCAAGTGTTTATATTATTTCAGCAGGTCATTATTAATTATATAGAGCTATGGGTAACACCTCTCTTTAATATCTTACCTATGACAACCTCCTAATAACTGTAGGACCATTTCACTAGCTGATCTACCCACCATTTCTATCTGTCTATCTATAGTAATACCGTATTTTACAGCTAATGATAATATAGTATTTCTTAATCCGGTACTAATACATGGTACCACTAATCCTGAATCTGAAATAAAGTACCAGTATTCCTTTTTGTTGACCTAAACTTGCTCAAGATTACTTCAGCATTGGATAGACATTTTCTTCTTTTTAAGGCTTTGTCCTCAAACTTGTAAATTCAAGCCTTTTATGACAGCACTATCAAAAGCTGACTTCATATCAAAGTGCTTTCGAGACATCACCAAATGCTTAGTATTAATAGAATAGCAAGGACTACAGATTGGGATTGTGTGATGCTATCAGTGTCTCATTCTCTGCACAATTCCTTTAATGTATATAGATCCAACCATACAGCATAGCAGAACCAGGAAGCTAGAATTGCAATACACTGGGCTGCACATGCAGTCATTTGATTGTATGCTACCGAATACAGCAAATTAGGGTCTGAACAGAAAATCTGTAAACTATAAGCCACAACATTTACAGTATATATGTCAGGGGCTCTGATTGGCTATTTGCAAGCATGCGAGCCAGTCAAATCGCTTCATTCAATAATACAACAATAGAGCCTTGAAGTTATGAAGTTATTAGACGCAGTGATTGCTTGAAACAATGAAGATGTACAAGTATTTAAGTTGATTTACCTGTAACATAACTTCTACCTGCTGTCCCAGGTGTTTTTATCTGTTGTAGTACAACAGGACCGGTTGATAACACATTTTCATCACACCTGTATTTAGTTGGTTTCTTATCAACCATCATACCTTCTGGCATATCATTTTCTATCTTGGCATACTCTGCCTGTTTATCAAATAATTGTAAGTTCTTTTCAAAGTCAAAATCTTGAATAAAAGATTCAATAGGAGCACTAAAACAATCTTGTTTAGGATTTCCACGTCTAGAGTTACTACGGTTCTCTATCTTACGAGGTGTTGTTGACTTCTTAGCAGGTTTATTTTCATTTCCTTTAAAAATAAAGAAAAAGATTCACAAAATTATATGGCTTTATCAAATTCACTCTATATTGGTTTGATTTCCCATTTATGATTTATCTTATATTTTAGGTCATTAGACTTTCAAACTAAGAACCTGCAACCACCATTTGGTTGATGTAACGATGCAAATAACCAAATGTAAATATTCCAAGGCTTTTGTCCTAATAACAATTTTATAAGATCATGAACGACAGTAATTCTCACCATTTTGTCTTCTAACATCAGGATCTCTGGTAGGTGTTAAGCGTTGATTACCATTCTGTTTATTATTATATCCATTAGTTAAGTAATGTCCATTATTATACTGTCCATTACTATATTGTCCATTTTGATTGGCAAGTCCGTAATCACGAGTAGGTGTGGCACGTTTTGTATAAGATCCACTATACATATTGTTCATTGGAGGGTTTGATCCTTGTATAAATCCATTGGTGGCCATTCCCGAAGCATGGATAACTTTGACAGGTGAAGGACACTTAGGATTAATTGATTCTTCTACTTCTTTAGATAATTTGGAGGGTGTGGCTTTTCTACAGAAAACGTCTTTAGCATCTTCAGGAGAATTGAGTATTTTCAATTCTCTAATATCAGATGATCTGGGGAAAGCAAAATGAAAACATCATTAAGGATAGTTCAAATCCTTCTTACAACATGATGAGGCAGGCAACATACTGCCTTTCATCTTTTTCTACTTGGTAATGAAACTTTTACATACATGTTAGCATTAGTTCCAGAATTAAAGGAATTGTAAAGATGTTTTCTAATTTTTTTTTTTTTGTATTTGGGACACTCCAAAAGAATTTGCACCATTCTAATTATCAGACATGACGTCTGTGGTTCCTGCAATTCCAAGTGTTTGATGACGTCACTAACTGCACAGGGCCTGCCCTAGTGACTTAATCAGTGTCCCCTAATACACATAAAAAGTTTAGAAAACCCCTTTACAATCCCATTAAGTTTTCTAAACCAAAAAATGTTCAACAAGTTAACTACGGTACCCCGTTATGTATGAAAAAATTACCTGATTGTAACATTAGGAACTTCACATTTTAAACCATTTCTGAATGCATTTCGTAAAGTTAATGTATTATCTCCATTATCTATCCATTGTACTTGACCTTGATATGTACCAAGTACATCACCACAATCGAGTGAAACAATACTTCCAACCCAATCCGACATTATATAATAGCACTATTTTCTGTAAAACAAAACCACATTTTTTAAAGTTAATATAGCTTCTAATATTCAAAAACTGATTAAACATAGTCATAATGGAATTACGACACACAGCACAGAGTGAACATTTTCATTCATTTCACAAAAAAATCTAATCAAAATTTAAGTCTTTGAGTCCATAGAAGAATTAGTATGATGTTTTTACATTTGTTGAAGAAGAAAAATACTATGTATATGGCTTTGAGTCAGATGTGGGCCTGGTGGGCATTTAAAAACGAAACTGAGCAACAATGTCAGAAATAGAGTAGCAACACACATCTGAGTCTGAAAATACACACACTGGCACTGTCTACTGACAATATGTTACCAATGTTAAGTCCTACTCTTATTCTGCTTTGGTTGCTGACTTCACTGGCCTTGACAAAATGACCTGTATATAAATAGACCAATCATCGACCAACTCAAATAGGGTGCGCAGAAAAAAAGAAAACAAACAACAATATTTGTAAAAGAAATATTCTTAATACACACTAGATACGAATAGTTAAAATCATCTAATGATAAAAAATGATATAATACCGATTAATGTTGATCAAAACATAAATACAGTATGAAATTGACAACTGTTAGTCTGTAAAATCTTCGCTCAATTCTGTCCAAAATAAGGACACAGCTGCTAATTTCAATAATGGCTTCCTTCTGAAACTTCTAGCCGCTTACATCATTAAATACTATTTCGACAAAAAACATTACGTATCTAAACCATGTACGATACTTTTGATTCCCTAACAAAATTGTGCTATATTACATGTTGTATTGGATAAAGATAGTTGATATATCTTTCTGCTAGTATGAACCATAACCTACCGGATTGTAGTTTTATTGTTATAAGCGACGAAACTTTTTGCATATTTTAGACTTTTTAATCAAGTCTATTTAAAGCCCCGTTTTTATTTTCATAGTATTTGAGTCTGGATAATCGAATTAAATAATATTAGTAAATGTTAGTCTTATCTACCAAAACACTCGGTGTACCTAACAGAATACTTTAATGTGTTTGATATTTTTTTTTACAGAAGTTTGCTTATTCCATAATATTGTCTTCTTTTATTTTGTCTACATACACTTCTAAATGTCGTTCAAGTCTTATATAAAACTATAGTGTCTGATCAGAAGAGTAAGACGTGTGATATTATTCAAGAACTGAATTAATAATATTATTATATTATATTTTAAGCATTTTGTTTTTATCAAATAGCCTACGTGGTAGTATATTGATGGGGTCTTGACAAACACAAATCTGATAATATTGATTTCATTCATTAGCATATCCTTACAGCATTGTCTGCTGATTTTACCAATATTGTTCTTGGACCAAAATAAAATTCCTGCTTTTTCAAGAAATTTAGAGGCATTACAAGTATTTCTTCATTTTATTGGTAATCAATGATATCGCAATAGGCCGAGCAATTAAATTTTCCATGATCGATGAATATGATTCATTAACAAACCCGATTTTGAAACCACATAGATTTTGTGTGTAGTGTTGGGAGCTATTTAAGGGTCGGATTAAGGAGACTATTATAGAACCCCTGACGTCATTGATATTGGGAAATCACATCCGGGTACTTTATGTGCATTTTGTCATCAATTTATGTGATATTATTAATGGAGTTCAGTGAAATAAAAATAATGTCAGAAAAGGATTAAAATAAGTGAATATTTATGGCTGGAAATCAAGAAATATACGGTTTACCCGATATCCCTGTAAGTAAAAAGGAGCCAAGTTTGTGTACGTCGGTGTCACCTTTCGGAAAGCTTGTGAATACAAACATTGATATTATTATTTCTTCTCATCTCAATCTGTCTTATTTTTTTTTCATTTTAGGGTGACCAAACCAACACCCGTTTGCTCAGGATCAAAGTTGTTGAAGGTGTCAATCTCGCAAGAAAGGATATATTTGGGGCAAGGTAAAGTGAGAGTCTACAATATCATTATAATGTCTTTTTACTCTCAAACAGTAGCACTTTGTGGTGGACCACAAGTACCAGCCATAATGCAATTAGTTTAGTAATAGAAAGGATATCTTATTGCCATATATATTCATTTATAGCGGAATTGCTACATAGATTCCGTGTTAGGACCAACCTCTTTCCTCTGATGTACACTCAAGCTAAGTTGGATATTTCGAGTAGCCATAGTCTGTTGGATAAAGATGATGCTGTTTTACGCAATCTCTGGTTACAGATTGGACACTTTCTTGCCAATTTTTTTGGCCTGCTGGTCAGTTCTTCTGATTCAGAGGCAGCATTGCAACTGTCCCTTCATAATGGGCGATACATTATGAAGTTTGCGTTGCAGAAATCTTCTTCATCATATATTTCATAATCTATATCATCAGGGTAAAATTCCTCCATATTCTATTAAAACAAAACTTAATGTTAGAATTGTTTTATTTCAAATTTGCGAAAATTAATTTTTTTTTTGTTCATGAAATTAAATTTTAGTTTAAAACTGAAATATTTCTATTGAATATTTATTTTATGGTTAAACATACTTTTAGCATTTAAGTCTGTCAGGTATCTTGTTGAGGGAAATATTCAGAAGATAAGCTCATGCTAAACTCAGTATTCAAATTACACAATGACATTGCTTAAAAAAAATGAGATCATATTTAACCATTCAAAATAACTGTTATAACTTTACATTTTCCGCGAAGGGAATATAAATTAATTGGAATAAACACAAGTGTAGACAGTTGTGATTGTATATTCATAGCATTAGGTAGTCAAAATTTCAAACTTCCCCATAGACAATTTTATAATAGACATTATGTTAATTTATGCAAGGATTACAAGTAAACCGATGTGAATGTTTTGTCCAATGTTTTTATGTATGTAAGCTTATACTAGTATTTTGAAGGGGCATAAATAATGTTGTATAATGATATAAAATAGGTCAATAGATAGTATGTTTACCAAGTATATCTATCTTTAATTTTATCTAAAGACTTGTAAAGGTTCATGACAGTGACAAATAGCACACATGATTACTGATGTGTTGTATCCCTTTTTAATTCATGATTTTTAACGAGAGTCATCTTACTTTATTTCCCTTTACCAACTAGAGACCTTGAATCCATCCATCTGTGTCAAATGACATTTTCTTGTAAATTTTCTAAAATCAACGGTTTTAACCTATTTTGATAAGATATGAATATTGAATATTGAATATTGAAAACATTACAGCCCCTTAGTTTGCTTTTCAACCAATTTTCATGATTTTATGTTAGTTTTTGTGTTGATTTGTATCCATATTTAAAAATGGTTTTCCCAGTTAAAATTCACATGATTCTTAAATATTTGGTGTCGAAGACCCATGACAGGCACACAAGATTGAGATTGGCTTAGGCCTTTTGTTATCATGATCCTTTTAGTGTCAATATCTTGTGATAATTAAAAATGGTTTTCCCAATTAAAATTCACATGCACTTTTAAGTCCAAAGATCCAAGTGAAATTTTAATGATTACATAAATGAATAGAAATGATAGAAAGTTTTAGAAGAAGCAAACAGTAAATGCAATCTTGGGTATTGTAGAGGTTTCTAACTGTAGATTTGAATTGTGTTGTTAAATCACTTAATTTTCTGTTGGTAGGATAATGTGTGGTGATATTCATGGTACTGGGTATCTTTGATAGATTTAATCCACTATGATATTTCATAATTTAGGGACTTTGAATATTAAGCTTATATAAAACATAAAATGTACAAAATATCTAGATATTGTACTAAACACCATCAAAAAAAAAAAAAAAACATCTTATCCTTTAAGCATGAAAGTGTAAGCTTATAAAACTGAAAGTAGCCCATTTATGGATTCTATTGCCCCTATACAATACGGGTAATATAAATTATGTTATGTGACACTTTAAAACTGTCAAAATGGGTTGTTGTTTTTAACTCTGAACATATGAATATTTTAAATGTGTTTTGTATATTTCAGTGATCCGTATGTAAGAATATCATTATATAAAGGTGATAGAGAAGATGGACTTATTGATATCAAACAAACTAAAACAATAAAAAAGGTAGGTATAATTTGATATACTTACTATTACACTTTAATTGAATATCTGGCTGGGCTGGGCATCGACTAAAAATTAAAATCGATTATCAATGGCAGGTTACCGATCAATAAGCTTAATCCATTAATAATCAAACTATAATCTTCTTTTATTCCTTGGGTAGTTTTAAAAATATTAATTTTCATTGCGTTGATCAGTTATTATAGTTTATTGTTAGAAAGCTATAAGAAAATTTTTGATAATTGTGAAATTTGATAATCGATTATCTAAACTATAATTTTAGAGCGTCGATTATTTCTATTATTTACCCAGCCCTACATGTAAGATGATACTGCTATAGCCCTGTTCCCGTCATTCTAAGTCTGAAGAAAACATAACATTTAACATCACAAAAGAGTTTTATTGGCATCATTTTTCTCTTTGGGAATCATATTTGCCTATTAATGTTGTTGAAATAAGACTTCAAGTAATTATCATCAAATATGAAATGGTCTGATATTGATCATATGTTTCTTTCAGAGTTTAAATCCAAAATGGGAGGAAGAATTTATTTTTAGGGTAAGTATAAAGTTTGAAAATTGTAATTTGTAGATAGTGTTTAATTTTCTAACATAATTCATGTCGGATTCAATCTCTTGTGTGATAATAAGACAGTTTTTATAGTGGATTTTTGAGATATGTGGGATATCTACCACAAAATTTGATATACTTCCCAACAGTTACAGGGAATGAAATTAGTTTTCTGGACCATTATAGCTTCTATTTTCTCTTCTTCATTTGTAATGCCAGAAAAAAACCACCATAATTATAATGTCACTATTTGGGAAGTAGCATTGAGACTAAAATCTGGTATTGATGTCATTATCTGGTCCAATGGGGAATTTGGAATGATAATGATACACATATATTGACCAGAAAATATCCTCTGAATCAGTTTGATAAATGTTTCAAATGCAATGTTTGAATTTTCAATTACTATATAAGGCAACATAATATAGTTGTGAAATTGAAAGTATAAGTTGTTATAATCAGTTATTTTATCTTCTACAGGTCAATCCGCGTGATAATAAAGTTATATTTGAAGTCTTTGACTCCAATAGAGTGGTAAGTAAGCTACCTATTTATAATGTGTTATCAGCTTTAAGGACTTTCTTTCAATTGGCAAATATTCACTGGGACATGATCTGAGTGATACCTGACAAGAACAGGTGATGTTGTATACTCATTCCATTGAAAATCAGATCCTGACCATATTATATCCTCCAGAAACTAGGAGGTGAGCAAGAAGATCATTTGAGTGTTGGTGAAGCTCGGCTGTGTTTTGTTATTAAATCACATTATTCTTTGTAGCATAATGTCAATGCTTTTAACAAAGTGTGATGTTTTCCTGTGAAAAAAAACCCATTACTTTTATGACAGCAGTCTTCATCATGCTAAAACTTTTTGGCTTGAAGGGTATAACAAATTTCATTTATTGAATTTTTCACCAACCAGACAATTTAATCTCTCTGTAGTAATTTTAAGTTTATATATATGATTCAAAGTAATTTGACCGAATGTGATTTTGTAAACTGTCGCTTGACAGTAAGAAGTCTGAAATTTTTTCTAGATTCTTTATAAATTATGCAAGCAAACCTTTTTTGAATTTCTTTTAAGTTAATGTTATTTTTTCTTTTCAGACTAGAGATGATTTTCTGGGATTGGTGGAAATTAACTTACAACATACATATGTTCTGGCAGAAATAGCAGGAAGAGAAATACCAACCAAAAGTTTTGTTCTTCGACCTCGAAGGTAGATAGGGTCTTATCCTTTCTATCAGGCAAAAAATGATAAAGTTCCTAAAGCTGGAGTCAATTAACTACAAAAGCAAGGTCTTTTAGGAATAAAAAATGGTGTTTTTCTATTTGTATAATTGGTTGAAAAAGATATCCTTTAAACAAGTGTAGTTCTTAGTACCCTGACGTTTTTTTAAATGAATTAATTATGATTGAATAAAGAGTAAAAGTCTTTGCAAAAACAAATTTTTGCATGACATATTCATTCAATAATAACAACATAAATAAACTTTCAATTGTGTTCTACTTTCAATTGTGTTTGCTGGTGTAACTTTTTTTTCAATGACATGTTTTTATTTTAAGCACCAGGTCAAGAGTTCGAGGTCATCTCACACTATATTTAGGTTATTTACCTACTGAATCTGCTGGCACAGATGAAGTTACACCAGCTCAGCCTTCAACAGAGGTATTAGTCTTACTTCTTTTTCTCTACAATAGGGCTAAACATGATTGCTTGATTGGTCAGTTTAGCACGGTCAAACAAGGTAGAACAGGGTTCAGATCCATTCCACCTCTGCTGAAAAATAGTAGGCGCAGGCAGAATTCAAAATGGCAGAGAAGGAAATAGACTCGAACATGTAGTTCAGAATCAAGCACCAACATGTGTACCTCAGTAACCATTTCCCAGTCAAATCATTGTGGATGTGTTTGAAATTTTGTGTTTTCTCTGGATGTTTGGCTTTTGTCAGATTGTTATTAGAATCATAACTGTATCAAAAGTGTCAGATGACAAATGAAATCAGACATCAATGCCATGCCATACTGTAGTAACCGTTAAATAAACACTTTGGACAAGGTGAAGAAATGAATTATCTGCTGCCATAGCTAGTCATTATCTTAGAAAATTGCTTTCGTACCATCATTGCTTATATTTCCGCTTGTGAATTTCTCTTGACAGAGACCATCATATGATATCACCCTGTACGAAATTTACCTCCCAGAATTCACCATTTTGTAAATCCTCCTACGTTATATTCTTAGTGACTTGAGCTTCAGACAAAAGGTCAATTATTGAATCTTGTTCGATTGATATTTCAGCCTGGTTGGGAAATGGTTGATATGAACAATGCTTTGAATGAAACTGGTGCATCTGGTCCTGTACCTAATGATAGAAGAAGTTCAGTAAGAGAAGAACAGCTACAACCTCTGCCTCCAGGATGGGAACAACGAGAAGATGCTCAGGGCAGAACATACTATGTCAACCACAATCAAAGAAGAACACAATGGGAACGACCCAGAATGTAAGTTTGAGGCTTTATTTAACTTAAAATTAGTATTTCCTGTGTTTTTTAAGGAATGAAAATTCCAAGTCCGAGATTTAGCTAGTCATGGTTCGTTTATGGATCAGATATATGAGGAACATATTTCCAAAAATTACTTGCATGCCATCTTCACAATGTCAAGTTATTATGAACTTCATACTGGACTGAAATAGTCTCTTTCTTGTATCATTGAAGTTTGTAAATGCAGTGATTTGATTGGATTGTACGTTAGTTGACACAGCCAATCAGGGGCTTTGTCAGACAGTCTGTGAACACAAAGCCATGCTATCAAATCGTTGTACACTCAATACAAGAAGAGTGGGTATTGCAGTCAAGGTATAAGTACAATGTTTGTAATAGCTTCTCATTGTGTAGATGTTGCATGCCAAAATTTGTGTATAAGAACAATTATACATGCAAATGTAATTTGTTCGATATTACTAGATATAAAAATTTAGTTCATCAGATGATAAAGCTTAATTATAGCTGGTCAAACTTTTCAAAATGTAAATTCAGCATGTTTTTCATAAGCTTTCAAGTATTAAACGAGTGACATTGATTCAAGAAATATGTTATTCGAATCTTGAAAGTTAAGAGCTTTCAAAATGCCCCCATTTTGTACTAAGGTTTTTTTTTGGTGATGGTGTTTTGGATATAGAACACTATCCTATTTTTAAACCATTCTTGCATCTCTTAATCTTTAAACTTTAACCTTCCCTTGTTTCTATATAGAACATTGTGCAAGGTTTTGAGAATATTAATCATACAAAAGATCAACACAATTATTTTGAAGCGGTACATTCTTGTACAGTCAAACTTGTACTAAACGGTCAATGTTTATGTTTGCTTACAGAGGGTTGTTGTGAAGGGTCGGTTACCTTGAAATAATCTTATAATAATCTCAGTTATTAAATAACATTATTAATTAAAATATTTTTACATGTTGTTTTGGACTGTTGAGTAAATATGTTGATATGGGTGGCCAGTGTTCAATGGGTTTAAAATTGATTAAAACATCATACTGAATATAGGTGGTTGTTCATACAAGTTTGACTGTATATTAGTGTTAGTTACTCATTTAGTTTCATTCGGGTTTGATTTATCATACTAAGCTTGATTATAGTCTGAGACCTCTACATATTTGTTTGATATCTACATGAATCCAATCTTGGTGCTTAGCCACAATATTGAATGCTAATTGATTAAGATTATAGTTCGGTCTTCATTCGAACACCTGATGCTATTCTTTGACTGAGTTTATCAACTTGACATAACTTTTAGACTGCCCAAATAGTTTATTGTCCATCATCAAAGAAGTTATATCACATTCAAAAAGTACTGTGGCAGTTTTGACTTGCAAGTTAGCGTGTTTGTCCCCTCTGGAACTGCTGATTTATCAACTGTTGACCACTATGGCCAACTCAGTTTTGGATGATACCAACTCAGCTTCTTTAAGGGTAATAGTTGTCCAATCTAATTTTTGAGTTCAGTGGTATATTGCTAGGCATTGAGGTCAAAGACTTAAATTCAAGTTAAACTGTATTCAGATATTGGGTATTTTGCAAAAATAAATCCGTGTATTTTGTACACAGTGACAATGCTTTACCAGAGGGTTGGGAAGAACGGCAAGATGCTAACGAAAGAACTTATTATGTTAATCATATAACACGAAAAACAAAATGGATTAGACCTACTGTGTAAGTTTCTCTCTTCTTTTTATCAGTCTTATTAAAATTAGACCATACTTTTGTTCCTTTTTTTTTATTAGCTTTTATTTTTGATATAGCCACTTCGGTTAGAGTCTAACAACAGCCCTCTTGAGCACTCGTTTTTTAGTAGCTTTTGTTTTTGATATAGCCACTTCGGTTAGACTTTAACAACAGCCCTCTTGAGCGTTCGTTTTTATTAGCTTTTGTTTTTGATATAGCCACTTCGGTTAGAGTCTAACAACAGCCCTCTTGAGTGTTCGGTTTTTATTAGCTTTTATTTTTGATATAGCCATTTCGGTTAGAGTCTAACAACAGCCCTCTTGAGCGTTCGTTTTTTATTAGCTTTTGTTTTTGATATAGCCACTTCGGTTAGAGTCTAACAACAGCCCTCTTGAGCGTTCGTTTTTTATTAGCTTTTATTTTTAATATAGCCACTTCGGTTAGGCTCTAACAACAGCCCTCTTGAACTTCATCAAATTAACCTTTCGATCCAACTCAAAGAAAACTGCTTTAACCACTCAAATTTCTACCCTCTCCAATGCTAGCCTTTTGTGAAGTGGTGTTTAACAGGTTAGGTAGAAAAGGTTAATTTGACGAATGTTCAAGAGGGCTGTCGTAAGACCCTAACTTATGTGGCTATTTCTTTTTAAGGTATTTGGTTGTCTAAATATATGCTTTAGAAGCATAGAATATATTTTGACTAAGGTATTCATGCAATTTATTAGAAAAGGAGTACAAGTAACTAACATCTTTTGAGAGAATTCTAAGATCTGAGAAACGAAATGTCAATGTTACTTTTGCTGATATTAGTTATTCTATTATGTGGAAAGAAATTCAGATGACCAAACCATTTTTATATAATTCTTTATTGCTCAAACCTTTTCACAGCTGTTGCTTTAGATTAAGTTTTTTTGTTGTTCTATTATGAGCTTATTATATTTGATAGTTTTTGTATTTTTCATTTTTTCCAGGCATGCATCCATATTATATTATTTAATTACGCTTTAAGACAAGTCATTTCTTTAAAAAGAACTGTTTTTTTTGTTGCTGCTTTTCAAATACTTTCTGGTAAATGATATTGCTCACAACTTTTAATTTACATTATCCAATTTTCTGATAATTCATGGAATTTTTTAAGGATGAGCGAGCGAAAAAAATGCTTATGATATTTTAGAGCCTTTGTTTCAATTTTTTTTGGGGCCTTTACAATTGGTACTTCATAGAAAGACCCACTTTTTATACGTCAGAAAAACATAGTCAACAGACGTCTGATTGAAAATTGGTCTCTACAATACACATATAAAACCTAAACCCCTTAGACATTCTCACTGAAGTTAAACTCTTTACAATATTTTTATTGACAGTTTGATCTGCTAGTAAAGAATTTATTGAATTCAGAAGACATTTATAACCTCTACAACCTCATTGAATATAGAACTAGATATTTCTAATGTCACTTTCCTTGTGTCAGATCTATAATAACTTAAGTAAACTACAGAGAAAAAAGGGAAACAAAATATGAAGAGCAGTATTTTGAATGTCCATATTATAAATTAAATTGGGGGTCCCCATCCTAATCTGATATACACTGCATTACAAAATGCCAGCACTAGAGGGTAGAAATTTGATTGGTTAAAGCAGACGTCATTGAGTTAGGCCAAAAGGTTAATTTGACGCACGTTGGAGAGGGATGTCGTTAGACCCTAATTGTTGTAGCTATGTTATAAATTTAAGCTAATAACAAAAAACGAAATGACAGTTTTGTCTAATTTTTAATTTTATGATATACATTGATACCAACAGGACACAACAAGTATCTGATCAAGAATTACAACAACAAAGAAGTCTAGAATTAGCTGAGATGTATGCACATAGACGTCATGTTAGTCAGGAAGATACGTTAAGTGTTGATTCAACCACAGACTTATCTGCTTCACGGGTATGTAGACGTCATGGACTATTTTGTTGGTTTCTTTGAATTCATTTAAAAAATTTAAAAATGAGGGCAACTCATCCAGAGCTGAAATTTTTTTAACATATATATGATCAATCTTGATCAAGTTCCATTTTTTGTCTTAATTAGCTCTTTATTTTCATTTGCATATGAACTATTTAACATATAAGATGCTTTTGACAGACATTTTCAGCCTGATTTTGTATTTGAACAAACTTAATAATAATAATTTTTGAATTATATATTTACAGACACCTACACGAACACATAGTGTTTCAACACCTAGTTCTTCATCTGTAAGTATATTTTGATTAAATGTTGGTATTATTACTATCATTGGCTAATCAACCAACATTGCTGGGATA